TACAATGCAAGGGGTCACTGAATCTAAGAGTTGGTTATCTGAAAGGATGGGAAAGAGGCCTGGAGACTGGGGAGAGGCGATGGGCGAAGGAAGTAAACAGGATCAAGATGTACTCATGTATGCGCTGGGTGTGGTGGTGCACACCTCGAACCCCAGCACTCAGGAGGCTGAGGCAGGAGGATTGCCACAAGTTTATGGCCAGTTTGGACTACATAGTGAGTTTAAGGCCAGTCTCAACTGCATACTAGGTGCCTGTCTCAAAAAATATATAGTGCCAATTGTACCACAAACATACACTAATAAAATTTGAGGAAAAAAATAAATGAAGCCTCAAGGAGGTTCGTCAGAGGGCAAGTGGTTCAGCTGTAGTGGTCAGGGGCACTTCCTGCTGTGGCCACAAGGGGCATTACCAACTCGGAGCAGCTTGGTGGTGGGAGCTGGAAAGTTGGTGAGTGGCAGAGGTGGCAAGCTGGGGACTTGGGGCGCTTGGGTGAGCACAGGCAAAGGTAATGTCCTGTGACAGGACATTGAGTGGCTGTCACGATGGCACGTGGTCTCCCTGGGCATGGAAGAGCATCCATGCTGGATGATGCCAGGGCCCGGGGCGTGGCAGGTCCAAGATGGAATCAAGAGGCCAGAGAGGGAGGCAGTAGGGGCTGGCTGGAGCGGCCTGCCTCTGGGAGGGGATCCTGCCTCAGCCTGACCCTTTAGAGCCCAGCAGAGCTAGCAGGAGGCTTTCTGGGTAAGCAGGGTTGTTGTGGCCATGCCTTCTGCGGCTGGGGCCCTGGGCCTGCTGCTCGGCTCCTTGCACTAGCCGTCGCCCCAGCCTTCCCACCCCAGTACCATGAGCCCCTCAGGAGGACCCTCGTTGCACATCCCTGGTCCTGGGACTGGTGGAGCGGGCACGTTAGCGAGCTCTGATTCTGCTCAGTCACCTTCCTGTGCCAGTGTGCTCAGGTTGCAGAGCCCCAGTCCCTGTGTCTTCCTGGACACGGTGACTTTGAGCAGTGGCTGCCTCACGGCCAGCTGCCCTGCTGCCGAGGGCCCCCACGAGACTCTGCCTGGAACCCCTCGTGTGGGGCTGTCTGGTTCCAGGTGACTATTCCTTGGGTACATTGGCCAGTGGAGCACAGAGCCCTCAGGCATGCCTGTGAGTCTGTTGGCTCCAGGCTGGTGTGGACAGTCACAGCTGAGGTCAGTGGTGTGCATGGCAGGGGTGCCAGCCAGCCTGGGCTGCTCTGGGGTTCCTGGGGCTCCTGATGGGGTGCAGTGAGTTTGATGCCACCCATGTGCCTCCCTGTGACCCAGATGAGCCAGAGCCCAGTGGGTCCCTTGCCTAGCCACACCCATGGTGTTCTTCCCTCGAGCCCTGCCGAGTGTCCCCATCAGGACAGCACCCCAGCTCCGTCTCCCCCGGGTGCCGGCTTTCGCACCTGCTGTCTCTTGGTCTCTACTGGCCCCTTCTGCTCTTCACACTCTTAGCTGCCTTAGCCTGTGGCCATCGAGTCCTGTGACCTTGCTCAGCCTAGAGGATGTTGTCCTTTCTCTGTCTCTGGGCTTCTTTGACCTCTGGCAGTGGGACATCTGTGCACCCTGGTCTCAGTGACCACCACATCCTGACCATCCCAAGGTGGACCTGTAAGACCTCTCCCATACTTCTGGTCTACATGCCATTGGTCCTCACAGTGTCCTCCTGGGGTGACTGGGGGGCTGTGTATTGGAAAGTGACAAGGGCTGAATCCTTTTGGCTGATAGGCCAACTTGACCTTGTTCCTCGTCTCCCAGCCTAGGGTCAGGACTTCTGTTGGTGTGGCCCTGGTGGGTCCTACTGGGGTCCTCCTAGGCCCCCGGGGACAGTGCTGTGGTCAGGGTGCTCCCTGGGGGCTGTCTTCTCCAGCTGAGCTCCTCGGGTTGCTTCCTGTCTGTTCTTCTCCCAGGGAGAGCCTCAGCCAGGAGCAGTGCTGGGGCTCAGGCCAGGTGTCCCCTCCTTGGGAATCACTGCAAGGCCTGGGGCTCAGCTGCTCTTGAGCCACCTCCAAAGGATGGTGATGTGTGGCTGGGGTGTGAGGTCTGTCCTTGGTGGGACCAGCTGGGGACCAGGTGATGCCATAAGACCTAGGTCAGATGTGGACCCCACATAGCAGCAGCCGTGACAGCCTGGGGTTCCTTGCGCTAGAGAACAGCTTGATGGGGGACCCTCACCCCCTCCCACTGAGGTTGAGCGCCTGCCATGCTCAGTGCCCGGTGCCTCTCAGTGGGTGGCTCTTTGGCTCCAGGGACCTGGTGCCTGTGGCAGGGGCAGTTGGGATTGGCACCATTCGGCACAGCAGAGGGGCGCTTCAGGCTCCCTAAAGGTGGCCCAGCCTGGGTGGGGAAAAGAGGATCCCAAGTGTGTCCTCACACTCTAGGTGTCCCATCCACAATTCAGGCTTATTGTCTGTGTCCAGCAGATGGGGAGCCAACCAAGGTGGCTGACACCTGCAACCCCAGGGGTTCGGAAGGCTGAGACAGGTGTGCAAGTTCCTGCCTAGCTCAGGCAATTTAACAAGACCCTATCTCAAATGCAGACAATAAAAGGTTAAGGTTGTGGCTCAGTGGTAGAGCCCCTGAGTGCTCTGTGGGGAAGCTGAGGTCCAGCACCCCCGACCGAGGCTGCAGGCTGCCATTGTTCTTGCCTCTGGGGAGCTGTGTGTCTGCCGGCCTGGATGGAGGGACGGGCGCTGGGATGCCTGGCGCAGGGGCATGGCTCTGCCCGCGCCTGGCCTCCTTCCAAGGGGAAGCAAGGGCTGTGGGCCTGGAAGCCTTGGCCTTGAGCTGTGTGGCCGGGACCCCATGGCCAGGTCAACACGGGTGTGCGGCTCAGGACTTTGTGTGATTCCTGTGGCTGGTGGGTGGGGCGCCCCAGGCCTGCGTGGCCTGGAGCTGGGTCGCTTCCTGTCCACCTAGCTGCGGCTGTCCCTTGTCCTCCCCTACAAGAACACATCTGTTTAGGCAGTACCAAGGCCCCTTCTGAAGTGTCCCCAGCCCCTGGCCCTTGCTCAGGTGAGGACAGCTGTGGTGAGGCCATCTGCTGCCCTCCTGAGTGGAAGGCTGCAGGGTGGTCCACAGGTCCCACACCCCTGGGGCCTCCTCGCCCCAAGTGGCACCTCGCTGACCTGAGGTGGATGAGCAGGCTGCGCAGGGCTGTGGGTTTCTGCAGTGCTGGGCCAGTTTCCTGCAGCCCCAGACTCAGTGGCTTGAAGTGGCCCAGCTGCTATGTGTGGCTGGAAGCGCTGCCCCTCCTGGAGGGCCTGGGAGGACCTGCTGCTGACTTTCCTGGCATCTGGTATGTCCCACATTGCTTGTGCAGCATCTTCCTGTGTCCCTGGCAGCCAGGCATGGCCAGCCTGCCTGTGTCTCAGTGTAGAGGCTTCCCCTCCCCAGGCCCCCTCACGTTCCCTGGAGCCCTGTGGTGGCCTTGGCCCTGTAGAGAGCCTTGTGCTCCCGGAAAAGCTTGCCTGGTGCCACATGCACCTTGACACTCACCTAGTAACCTGAGGCAGTGTCAGGTTGTGGGGTCGGGGTGGGGGTGGATGTCCTCTGCCTGCCTGTGGTGGTGCCGTCTCCCTAGGAACAGGGACCCATTTCACACCTCCTGTCTTTCTCGGCCTGGCTGGGGTGTTTCAGGGGGCTGGGGCTCCTCCCACACCCTCTCCAGTACCTGCCAGCCCTGGAAGCCCAGGGCCAAGCGTGCACTGCTGTGGGGGTCCAGGCCGCCTGCCCACCCTCTGGCCACCACAGCCTCTGAGGAGCTAGCAGTGCTCCGCAGCCTTAGCTCAGACAGGCAGCCGTATGGTAGGGCTACACCCTGAAGTTCAGGCTGGACTTCAACTCACTTTGTAGCCTAGACTGGCCTTGAACTCGTAGTAATCCTCCTAGCTCAGCTTCCCAAGTGCTGGGAGGACAGGCACGTGCCACCAGCCCACTTCCTTGTCTGTGTTTGAACTGGGTTGTTTGCCTTTTTGTTGTTGAGCTGTGGGAGTTCTTTCTAGGATCTGGATGCTGAGCCCTTATTTGGAGCTGCTGGCACTGAACTTGCTCAGAACTCTGCCCCTCCTATCCTTCAGGGGACACTGCTGTCCCCTCTCCTGCTTCTGTGCCCTGGGGACACCCTGCACCTGCCTTGCCTGCCCACCCACTGCCCCAGGGCCCTGGTCCCTTTTCACCCACACCTGCATTTGTTTCTCTTGTGTAAAACAATAAACAGAGAAGTACAAAGACCGGAGGGAGGCCTGCCCCAAGATAAACAGTCAGCGTGTGATCCTTTCCGTATCCTCACTGGCTCCGAGAACTGAACCTGAGGCTGCGGGCTGCTCCCTCCCTCCCCTGGCCACTGCCCATGCCAGTGACAGTGACCATCTCTGGCCCCCACAGCCCACCTAGGCCTGCAGCAGCCCGCTTCTGTGGGTGGCGGCACATGTCTGTGACTTTCCCTGTGCCTTCTCTTTCTTGAGGTTGGCCACCCCTTCACTCTTCCTCGGTGTCCCCAGGGAGGAGGCAGGCCTGCATCTCCCCTGGCCAGGATGGCCCTGACCCTGGGCGCCCCGTTCAGTGCTAGGTCACACGAGGATGGCTTATTTCTCTTTGAGGGCCTTGTGAATAAGGGCAGGTGCCAGGCAGGTGCTGAGTTCAATTCTGGATCACGGGCTGGGGTTTGCAGACGGGGGCAAGGGCCAGGCACGGGGGCACACACCTGCAACCCCAGCAGTCTGTGAGGCTGAGGCAGGGATCGGAAATCAGCCCAGCCTGAGCAACTTGGTGAGACCTGTCTCAAAATAAAAATGAAGCCACGCCCACGTGCACGTGCGTTTGTGTGTGTGTGTGTGTGTGTGTGTGTGTGTGTGTGTGTGTAAAGGAGAGAGGAGCGAGGCAGGCAGGATGGAAGATGAAATGGAAGGGAAGAGGGACAGAGAGCCCGTGGCAAGTGACCACCTCACCTACCTCCCCTGTCTTCCCCACAGCCAAGTACCCAGCCATCAAAGCGCTGATGCGGCCAGACCCGAACCTCAAGTGGGCAGTGCTGGGCCTGGTCCTCGCGCAGCTGCTGGCCTGCTGGCTGGTGCGGGACCTGGCCTGGCGCTGGCTCCTGTTCTGGGCCTATGCCTTCGGTGGCTGCGTCAACCACTCACTGACGCTGGCCATCCACGACATCTCCCACAACACTGCCTTTGGCACAGGCTATGCCTCACGCAACCGCTGGTTCGCCATCTTTGCCAACCTGCCAGTAGGTGTGCCCTACGCTGCCTCCTTCAAGAAGTACCACGTGGACCACCACCGCTACCTGGGCGGTGACGGGCTGGACGTGGACGTGCCCACACGGCTCGAGGGCTGGCTGTTTTGCACGCCAGCCCGCAAACTACTCTGGTTGGCGCTGCAGCCCTTCCTCTACTCACTACGGCCGCTGTGCGTGCACCCCAAGGCCATCACCCGCATGGAGGTGCTCAACACGCTGGTGCAGCTGGCGGTGGACCTGGCCATCTTTACCCTCTGGGGCATCAAGCCCGTGGCCTACCTTCTGGCCAGCTCCTTGCTGGGCCTGGGCCTGCACCCCATCTCAGGCCACTTCGTGGCTGAGCACTACATGTTCACCAAGGGCCACGAGACCTACTCCTACTATGGACCGCTGAACTGGATCACCTTCAACGTGGGCTACCACATGGAGCACCATGACTTCCCCAGCATCCCGGGCTGCAACCTGCCCCTGGTAGGTGCCGGCGGGCAGAGCAGGGCCCAGGCAGCTTCTTCCTATCTGTGTGGGTCAGGGCACGGCCACTTGCAGAGTGGTCCCCAGATACCCACAGGTGCCCAGGTGGCAAGGAGGGATGCAGAGCCAGAGTGTGGGCCCCAATAGGTGGCTGCAGCTTAGGCGCTCTGTGTGACAGAGGCTGTTCAATCCCTGCTGTGACACCAGCTGGCCTCACGTCCCCTGGGAAGTCATGTGCCACGTGGAAGGCTCTAGTTAGTGCTTCCTGTGATGCCCCTCCTTCCTGTCTCCTGACGTCCTGTGACACTGCAGGGCTGGCCCACTGGACAGGATGGTGGCCTTGCCTCTTGCAGGCTGGAGATGCAGGGAGTGGAAGAATTTCTGGGAGAGGAGGGGACAAGGAGCAGAAGAGAAGGAAGAGGAGTGGGAGGAGGAAGCGGAGCATCGCCCCTGAGGGTCTGCCAGGGTGGAAAGGGGGTCTGCGAGGCGAGGTGGGAGGTGTGCATGTGTAGTGTGTGCCTGGCTGTCCATGTCCTCGTGGGAGGGCACTGGGCCACAGCCTCATGCACCCCATGCAGGTGCCTGTGTCACTCCTCTGTGCTGAGCAAAGGTGGCAGAGCCAGAGTGAAGCCCTAGCCTCAGGCAGAGAAGGGTTCCTGCTGTCCCCAGCTGGGAGGCAGGGCTCCTACATCCTGCCTGGGTCTGCCAAAAGCCCCTGACGTGGGCCTGGGCCAAAGTGATATGGTGGCCAGAAGCCAGGCACACTTCCTGGGGGAGGCAGCATGTCAGGGACTGTCAGGAGGGGAGAGGCAGGAATCAGGGCCAGGAGTGTGGCAGGGGGAGGGCATTAGCCGTGGGTCCAGGAGCAGGGTGGGGGAATGCCTGGCACAGGAAGGCCAGAGTCAGTCTCTGGACCCCAACACTTGTGTGGGCTCCGGGGCTGGAACACCATGAGCTCCTCCACCTCATCTTGGGGTTCTGAGTGGCAGGGGTGGGCAGGGCGTTCAGGTCCCCCCAGGGGCCGATGGTGCTGTGCAGGCAGCCCTGACCTTGTCCTCCCCGTAGGTGCGGAAGATTGCGCCCGAGTACTACGACCACCTGCCGCAGCACCACTCGTGGGTGAAGGTACTCTGGGACTTTGTGTTTGAGGACACCCTGGGACCCTACAGCAGGGTGAAGCGGGTGTGCAAGCTGGCCCAGGGTGGCCTCTGAGACCCTGCTGATCCCGCACTGTGTGCCCGCTGCCCAGCCCTGCTTTGGGCTGTGGGCCCTCGCTCCCACTTTTGGTCCTTGCTGGATCCTGGAACTGCCCTCATGGCCATGCCTGGGAATGGTGGGCACAGGCCCCAGCGGAGCTGCTTGGTCTGCATGGGGCTCTGCATCACTTCTGGCCTTGGTGGGGGGCCAAGGCCCATCCCCAGCCAGGCTCTGGGCCCAGGGGCTCCATGGAGCTGCTGTCCAGCGTTTCTATCATCCATTAAACCAAGGCTTGTCTTCACAGTGCTGCCTTGTGGTCTGAGGGCTGGTCTCCACACAGGCTGGGCCCAGGGAATGTGGCCCTGGGGCTGGGCAGGTGGTGTCCAGGGCCTCCGTGTTGCTGCCTGCTGGCCACTGCATGTGTCCATTGCCCAGGTGCTTGCCGGGGCAGTGTCCCTGGCCTTGTGGCCAGGCTGGTGGGCTCAGGAGTCTGCGCACCTGGCTCAGGAGCTGTGTCCAGGGCAACGGAGTCAGGTGCTGTGAACTCCCTGCAGAAGGGAAGGGTGTGGCTGGGCTGGGGATGGAGCTGGGATCAGGGCTTGGCCAAGGTCACAGCAGGGGGGGAACCAAGTATCGTGGACCTAGAAGAGGGAGAGCGGGAGGAGGGTGTGCCTATCCTGCCACTCGCCTGGGTGTGGCTCCAGGTGGTGCCAGGCACAGGTATCCCTGAGCCTGAGAGCTGTCCCAGAGGCTCCTTCTGTGACTCAGGACTTTGAGTCTGGCAGGCAGCCCCTCCCTCTGCACACAGGCTCCTGGCCAGCCTGTGGCCGCCGTGCCTCTGGCTCCTCCACTCTGCTATGGGCAGCCCTGCAGCCTTTCCAGGCCATACCACTGAGGGCAGAGGGGCACTGGTGCTGGCTTCACACCTCGGAACGGCAGGAACACACCTGTCTTTGGGGTGCTGGGTACACGATAGGGATGGAAAGTCCAGGGCAGGGCTGGGGAGTGGCAGTTCCTCTGTGCCTGTGTCCCCCCTGTCCATGGCCTTCAGAGTGGGCTGAGCCCAAGGCAGGTGCTTTGCTCTGGGGTCGTGGTAGGACAGAGCTCACATGGGGAACCTGGAGCAGATCACAGAAGGCCGAGGCCTGTGCCACTGGGCTCCTGGTCATACCTCCACTGGTCCCTGAGCCAAGGACCAGACCTGCCTTTGGCTCAACGAGGAATGGCTGTGGGTGACACCTAGGCAGCCAGCAGGGGCCGGGCGCTTGCACGGGGAAGGGAAAGCCAAGTACCCGCACTGCCCACCGCCCTGAGCCCCACCCTGGGCCCCCGGGAGGATGTAAGAGCCCCTGAGGTGGCCTGGGAGGGGTGTGCGGAGGGCTGTCCACAGGGGTCCAGGTACGTGCTCCTCTCCGGGAGGACCTGAGGCTCGGCTTGGCCTCCCCTGAGGTTCCAGGGCCCTCTGACTCCGCTCTTGCTCCTGTTCTTCCTGCTCACCCTAGCCTGACCTTTCCTGAGGCAGAGGCCAGGGCTTGGCCAGAGCAATGTGAATGAATACCGGTGGCGCGACAGAGCGAGCACGGAGCCACGTGTGGACAGTAAACGGTTTATTACGGTGTGGACAACACGTGGTGCATGGACAGACTGTTAACACCATGGTCAGCGGGACAGCTGCGCGGAAATGCCACGCTTCGCCTGGCACCCCGCTGCCGGAAGGCGCCGGCAGTGTCACCTAGGAGAGAACTCGGAAACCATCTAATGAAGCAGGTGATCTGGGGTGTCCTCTAGAAACCCAAAGAAATGTACACTTAAATAAGCAAATATAAAATACAAAAAAAGAGTGGGCCCGGTGTTGTGTTGGGTAGAATCTAAAAAACTCCAGGAGTTGACTGTGTCCTCATCTTGACATCCGAGCCCAGGCAGAGGCCTCGGTGGCGACCGACGCGTGGGCTCCTCGGGCTCGGTGTGGGCTGGGCTGGGGCTGCGGGTGCCTGCCGTCCTCCGTGGCCGGGCCATCTACGTGGTGCTGACCCCGCTCAGCTCCTGCCTGATGGCTGAGGGACAGGACAGGAGGGGCGCTCAGGCCATGTCCTGTCCAGTGTGTGGTGGGGCCTTGGCAGGGACACTTTGGGAGATCACCAGGCCCTTGTGGTCACCTCTTCTGCCTCTACCTCCTGCTCGGGGATGAGCTAGTCGTGCCTGTCAGCGCTTGGGGAGTGGCCTTGGGCTGGGCCCCAGGATGCGGCCATGAGGAGCTGCTGCGTAACCCAGGCCCGGGGCACCCAGGCCTGTCTGGGGACCACAGCCCTTGCCTGGCAGCATGGAGGCTGGGCTCTGGCGTTGGCCTGGATGGTGGTCTCTGCTGATGGCTTGGCCTGGCCCTGCCCTTCTGGCCCCCACCTCCTGAGTCAGCCTGGCCAACGATACAGGGGTCTCCCCAGCCATGAAGGCTGCTGGGCAGGCAGAATTGGACAGGCAGGAACCTTGCTCTCTGCTGGCTGGGGTGCAGCCGGCCCTGCCTGCACCTTCCCTTTTCCTCTGGCTGCAGATCTGAGCCAGTGCCTCAAAGGCCTGGTGGGGCCGGAAGGGTGGGCGTGATGCAAGGGATGCGGCCCTGCTCTTGCAGCCAGGGGCTGTTGCGGGGAGCTAAGGCTGGGAAGGAGTCTAGGTGGGGGCTCCGAGTCCCTCCACCCCCAGGAAGGTGGTAGCAGACTGGAGAGGCAGAAGGAACCAATGGAAGATGAAGGTCTGGGGCATCTGCTAGGACGCCCCCCTCTCCACATAGGGTCTTCTGTCCTCTGTGGGGAAGCAGGGACACAGGCCTCGGGTTCAGGCCACCCACACAACTCTGAGCCTCTGTTTCCACAGCTAGAGGCAGCCTTGTGAGGAGAAGGCTCTACTCCATGTGGGGCCTACCCCGGCGCTGGCCCCTGCGTAGTGCCCTGCTGGTGTCCCTGGCTCTCCTGCAGCCCCACGACATACGCAGCTCCGGACGGCCCGGCAGTGGCCCACTCACCGTCGATGATCTCCTCCTTCACCTTGTGCAGCTCGCGCACCACCTCCTCCAGGATCTCCTGTGGGATGGGCCTTGGGGTGGGCAAGGCAGTGGGGGTGGAGTGGTGCCCCCACCCAGGGCGGCCTGTGAGTGCCAGAGGAGGGACCTTTGCTCCTGTACTGGCATGGTGGGGACGGTGCACTTGAGGCCCCCCTTTGATCCACTGGCCGGTTCCCCAGCCGACCCTGAGCCACACGCAGGCCCTCTGGATAGGAAGTGGCCTCAGCGGCTGCTCTCCCAGCCTGGGGGAGGAAGTGCTCACCTGTTTCATCCGGTCCAGGTCAAAGGCATCCAGGGCCATGTCGCTCAAGCTCCCGGCAGGCTTCACTCTGGGAGAGGAAGACGGTGCAGCCAAGTGGGCAGCGGAGCCTGTGGGTGCCCGGGGGGTCTGGGGGCCTGGCAGTCCCTGGTCTTTCCAGAGCTCGACTCATGGTCACAGTCTACCTCGGGGGAGCCACGGCCTCCAGAGGTGGTGGCTCAGGCAGACACCGTGATGCTGCCCAGCACCTCCCAGGGACAAATAGGGTAGACACCCACACCTCAGCATGACCTCCGTCCCTCAAGAGCCGGCATGTGTGGCATGAAGTTCCACGTGGCCTACAGCCAGCCATCCTGAAGGCACTCACACTCCACCCAGCCGGTGCCCCTGGCCGGGCAAGGGGCCTCCTGGGCAGTGTGGCTTCGCTCTCAGCAGCAGCAGTCACGGGTGCTAAACGTGCACAGCTCCCACACAGAGTCTCCCCGAACTCTGGGGTCTCTCAGGACCCCATCATGGTGTGGACTGGGCTCACTTTCTCTCCTCACATGGGGAGGACAGGGCTTGGGCCAGCCTGTGATGGCCAGGATGTGGGTGGTAAGCAGAGGCTCCATGGCCTCCTCGTCCCCCGAGAAGGACTCAGGTGAGGCGCGGGCCAGTCTGTAAGAACTCCAGGTCTCTCGGGCCTTGAGCCTCCCTGGGGGTGCAGGTGCTGCTCCGGGCCAGGTCCCCTGCCACACCCAGCAGCTTGCCCGCCATCTGCCAGGCCCTTCACGTGGGGTTTGGAGGTCACCACTGGCCAATCCCTCATGCTCCTGTGCTCTAGCCACACATCGGGGTGGCCACAGCTCTAGGCTGAGCACTTCTGGCCCCACATCCATAGGCTGCACTATACTGCCTCCTATCCCCAGGTGCCCCCAGCACCACCCCGCAGTGCCGGGCCTGTCCCCTGCTGTCCTAGGACTGCAGCTGCCCTGTGGCTGCAGAGCTCCCTCCTGTCACCTGTGCTACCAGGGGCCAGGTACCGCTCTGCTCCCGGGGCCAGGCTGGGGCCCCGCTCTGCTCATCCCGGCTTCACTCTGCAGGCTGGGCCTCCTGCCCCCGTGTGCCCGGCCGCCCTCTTCACCCGGGGCAGGTGGTGGGGCAGCCCTTGGGCTGGGCTCAGGAGCCTGTGGTTACTCCTGCTGCCTGCCTGTGTTCAGGGTAAGCTCAGTGCCAGGTGTCCCATGAAGTGTTTCCAGTGGCTTGATCTGGGGGATGCGCCAGTGCTGCACACAGAGGAAGGGGCTGGCCCATGCTGGCGGGAACATTCTGTGTCCAGCTGCCACTACAGCCCCGGGCTCTGCTCCATCCCCTGCGTCTTGGGACGCTCACCCCCCTCTTCTCAGGGAGGTGGGAGGGAGCTGCCTGCTTCCCGGGGCTGAGGAGCAGAGCACCCCACCCAAGCGAGTCGTTACACGACAGGAGCCGTGTCATGGCGTGTTAGTCAGGGGAGGGGAAGAGAAGGCCCCCGAGCCTGGGAGCATGTGGGCAGGAGGGGTATTCGGTACCTAGAGTGAGGCTGCGACTGAAGGGGGCTCTTAGCTTCGGGGCTCTTTGCCACAGACGGGGTTCTAGGGCAACGAACAAGACAGACACGTGAATGGCACTGGCGCCCCCACCCCTGCCTGGCACAGGCTGTCCCAGCGCAGCTCACCTGGACAACAGGGAGGACACAGGCTTCTCCACCGAGTTACTGCGCTCCCAGGGCTTCCGGCTGGCCTCTGTTGGGCAAGTCAAATCACAGAGACCATAGAGCTGGGGCCTCAGCAGCCACCCTGGCCCGACCCCACGGGGGAGCCCCGCCTATGCCTGGTCTGCTTTGAGTGCCAAAGCCTGGCTCCTGGCCCAGGCGGTGGTCTTCAGGGACTGCAGACTCAGCGGGCTGTGAACCAGCAGCACCCCTGCCCCTACTGCACAGTCCACCACCACTTTGTCTCACATTCTCTCCCCAAGGCTGGGTATCTCCCACAGCGGGGTCCTGCGGGGCCACTACCGACCCTAGCAGTCGGGTGGTCAGTGGGGCAATGCCCCAGAGAGCACCAGTCTGAGCTCCCGGCTCTGGGCAGCAGGCTGCGGGGCATCTGTGCCCTGCCTGGTGCTGCCCTGGCACTGCGGAAAGCTGCTTTTGTCCTCCCTCAGGTCAGTACTCCAGGCTGGGGAGCCCTTCCCTGAAACCTGGGAGCGAAGTGGTTCAGATTTTAATTTTTTTTAGTGATTGAAAAACTATGATGTGACCAGACTGTTTAAGATATTTAAGAAAGGTTTGGAATCCTTGCAGACTTCACGTGCAGCTTACTCTGAAGGTTTCAGAGCATTCTGGATGTGGGGCTTAGCAGCGCCCTCCCCCGGTGCCTGTAAGAATTCATCCCACCGCAGGAAATGTGAAGGGCTGCAGGGCAGGCTGAGAGCAGAGGCAGAGGTGGACAGGCTCCTGTGGTGGCGGGTGGCTGGCAGGTGAGGAAGTCAGCATCCAGCTACCCTCCAGACTGGGCCTCTGCCAGGTCAGATGCCACACCCTTAGCCACAGGGAGTCACAAAGCCTTGGCAGGTGGAAGGGGGATGGCACTGCGCCCATATGCCATGCTGCCGCAGGAGCACATAGGGCAGCGATGTCGTCCACATTCACAGGCCAAGAAACTTAGGACCTGGGAGACTGCCTCCCATGGGAGGCAGCCAGCGCATGTGGGCATTGCGCAGGTGCAGGACCTGAGAGCAGCTGGCGAAGGCCTCCATGTGCCTGGGCCAGGCCCGCCTGACCCTCCCCGGCCCCGCCCCTCCTCCTCATGCTCCGGAGCTCAGCCCTGGCATGGAGCAGAAGCTGAGCCAGAGTTTGTTGAACAACTGCATAACCAACTCTTGGGCTTCTCGACTTTCCTAGTCATATCCCTCCTCAGCTGACAGGCCTGAATGGCACCAGGGTTGGGTTTTTGGATTGCCAGTCATTAATTCCCCATAAAAGGGTGGTGGCTATGGCTGGTGATACACTGAGCTCTGGCTAGTGTGGGAGGCCCTGGGTGGCTTGAGAGAAGATGAAGGGATTGCCCCCACCAGTTGGTGGGAAGTCCTCCCCACCAGGGGTCAGCCTGCCCCAGGGCCTCCTCTGGGCCTGCCCTGGTGCTCAGCCTTAGCTCTGCTCTTGGGAAGGCGTGGGCTCATGGGAACTGAGCTTCTGCAGGCTGGGTCCCCGGCACTTACATAGGGGGCTGGGGCAGGATTATCCTCTGAAGGTGCCCTCAGGCCTCAAGGCGTTAGGGCGGCAGGACTCAGGGAGTCAGGGCGGTGCCTCTTACCTGTGGAGTTAGGGGGCTGGCTGGCAGCTCGGGTCCCTGGGGATGGGGAGGTACTAGGATCTTCCTAAAATGGGAAAGAAAACTCTTCTGTTAGTCCCCTCAGAAGACTTCTTGGGGCCAGGCAGGACATTTCTGGACCACGGTCATGTATGAAATCTGTTTCCCAAATAAGCGCTTGCCAGGGAAGGGCTTATTCCACTGAGCCATCTCCTCGGCCCCAGGCTCTAACTTGTGATCCTCTTGCCCCAGCCTCCCAGGTGCTGGGATTACAGCACCCCACATCAGGGTGTTCTCCAGGAGCCCCGAGAAGCAAGCTGTGCCATGAGGCTGAAGGTATCCCAGCTGCTTCTCTTGCGAAATCTCCAGGCTGAAACCCAGCCTTCTCCTTTCCACAGCTGGGCTTTAGCCATTAGGAGCCCAGGACCTTGGGCTGTGGCAGAAGGAGGCTGCCATGGACTGGCTGCAGGATGCAGTTCTAGGCCGCAGTTGGCTGGAGCCCTTGGTGTGTACATGGCATGGGTTAGGGTGCACATGGGAGGCCCACTGGCCTCTGGGCCCATGACTGGGCAGGAGTGAGGGAGGCTGCAGGGCAAGCCTGCCTGCAGGGGCTCAGGAAAGCAGTGGTCTGGCAGAGGGGCAAGGGTCCTCCTAGCCTGGGGGCTGTGTCTCAGGGAGGGAGGTTTGCACAGAGGCCTTTCAGCCTCTGCTCTAAGCCACCCGCCGGGGTGTCTGTCACATGTGCCATACTGGAGGCAGCCAGGGCTCTGAGGCCCTCCTGACAGGGAAGGACATACAGGAGTGGGTGGGTGGGGCACCCACCGTTTGGCTTTCATCTTCCCTTTTCTCAGCCGGCTTGTCTGTCTGTGAGGCTGCTTTTCTCCTAGAAACCAGGAAGCAAAGGCACAAGTCAGCTCCCTGAGCTTCTCACACTGAGCTGGAGTGCCTGGCCCACCAGACGCACTGTGTGGGGATTGTGACCTCCAGCTCTGGGCGCTGCACAGGCTGAGAGCGGTGAGGCTGACCTGCACGCTGTCCAGGTCTCCTAAGGGCCAGCTGTCCCCGTAGGACATCAGAGAGGGCCACCATGAGTTTCCAACACAGGCTGGCTGTGGAGGTGGGAGGTCCAGCACCTCATCGGGAGCTGTGGACTGCAGTCAGCCTCACCACCCATCTGCCATCCAGACACCAGGAAGACCTGGAAGGGCCACACAGCTCCGGGGCCATGGTGCACTCATGTAGCTTCCCACAGAGCCAAAACCTTGCGATTCTTGCAAGACTACACTGTCCTTTCTGGCCTCGGTGGTCACTGTCACCTGGCTGCCTCTCAGATCTCTATACACACACCCAGTGGCTCCTGAAGATGCCCTCTTGTGGGTCTCTAGCTCCATGAAGCCACTGGAAGGTTTATCTCCCAACCTTGGATGATCTACCCACCAACGACAAAGGCATGCAGTGATGGGCTGGCCCTCTGTCACACGGTGGCCTTGGCAGCCACCTCATCTCAGGCCCCAGAAACCCAGGCATTGTCCTGGATACGACCTTCTTACAACAGTGAGCCTGGTCAAGTCTACCTCTGAATTTCATTTCCAGTCTTCACGTCTACGCCCCCACTGTCCGCCCCTTGTCTCCTCCCGGGCTGACATTCTCCTTACTGGTCTGCTCTCACTTTAATCCCCTGCAGCCTGTCCCTATCCCGCAGCCCACGCTTCATCTCTTAGACATGCAGAGCAGACTGGGCCAAGTGGCACAGTGGTAGTGCACTTGCCCACCTGGCGCACAGCCCTGGGTTCCTCGCCCAGTACGACCAATACCAGCCATCAATCAGCCACCACCTAACCAACCAAACACCTAAGCAAGCAAGCAA